TCGTAAATTTAGTTTCCCATATTTATACATAATTATGTACATAGATACATGGGCGATTCGTGTTAATTTCTTATCCATTTCTGGTTCCACCCATGCACAGAAAATTGAATTTTTTCCACAAGTTCTGGCCAGTTTTTCGACATTTGTATGTATATTGAATATCTTTACGCTGAAATACCTGGCATGATGCACGCCAAATGGTTAACCCTCCTTCTCAAAATGTGTGTTATAATTGCATGTGTACTTTGGATATCCATAAATATGCACAAATTGATGTTCATTTATTTGCTTTTGTAACCTCTGCTTCTTCTTCGCTCACTCAAAGATCGAAACGGCACACGCCTCCACCCCCACCCCCACTGCCACTCCCTCTCCCACTCCCGCATCCCATTGGATTCAGCTCCTGCTCCTACTCCTACTCGCTCACCCAATTCTACTCCACCACACACACCCTTATCCACCCCCCCCCCCCCTCCTCCCATGCTGCTGTTCCTCTCTTACCTGTTTTTTGTTTGCAGGTTGTTGTTGTTGTTGTTGTTGTCGCACGGCATTAAAAATAACACTCAATAATAATTTTGTATTCGTTTTCAATTCGCATATTGACGTCGACAGCGGCAGAACAGCAGCAGCGGCAGAGCAAGAGCCAGAGCCAGAGCCAGAGATCTGCTTCGTCTTTTTCTCTCTCTCGCTCTCTCTGCGTGTGTGTGTGTGTGTGTGTCTGGCTGTGTGCCTTTGTATTGGTGTTAGCTCATCGAGGTTATGGATATTGCGTCGTCGTCGTTTGTTATCGTCATCATCATGTAGTTGTTGCTGGGCTTATGCTGATGTTGTTGTTGCTGTTGCTGGTTTTAGCTTTTAAAAAATAAAAACCAGTTCGTCAGCGTAGCAGGCAGGCAGCAGGTCTTCAGCATCTCACAGCCGCAGAGAGCCAGCCTCTTTGTGTGTGTGTGTGTTAACGTGTTTATGAGACACAAACAAGTAAGCGGAAAATAAAACACACACACTCAGGCCACCACCACCAACAACAACAACAACAACAACAACAATTACCACAAAATCTTACCTAACAGCCGGAGCCCCCCCCCCCCAGACTGCCGTCGCTGTCTCAATCCAAAAGCCAGGCCCCAGGTCCCCACAATCAAAAAAAAAAAAGTTGTACAGAAAACACAACAGACATTGTATGTATATTGTTTATGTATACATAAAATATACATACATACATGCACATAAAATGTATGTAAAGACGTTTGTGTATAAAAGATCCAATTCGTATGTTAAATAACTATAAATAAATAAATCTATAGAAACACATACAGATAAAGTTAAAGATGGAGATAGAGATACAGATACAGATACCCCCAATAAATGGTATAACCAAATCTACACCAGCCGTCGACTGTCTTATGGATATGGATTCAATGGTCTTCGAACCGGAACTTCGACTCCAATCACAAAAATTAAAACAAAAACAACACAAAAGCTCGCAAAAGCCCCCAAGGTCTCCCTCGCTCGCTCACTCGCTCGCTTCGTTTTCGCTCTCTCTGAGAGTGTGAGCAGGGAAAACCCTTTTCGTTCCTTTCCCCTAGAAAAGGAAGGTCTCTGGTCTAGGTCTCACTTTCTTCTAGAACTCTCCCTCTCTCTTTAGCTCTTTTGCAAGAAAACCCAAAAGCAGAGGAAAACGAAGGCAAAAACACAGCAAAAGCATGTAAAGGAGATGAAAAATTATAAGAGATGAAAAGAAGAAAGAAACAACAACAGCAACAACAAGAACAAGAACAAGAACAACGGCAAGACAAGAAAAGAGGCCGAGCCATAACCAGAGCCAAAGAAAACGGCAAAGAGCTAGAACAAGAGCAAGCGCCATGACTGGAAGGAAAAGTAAAGTTATTTTCATTTTCAAATGAAAGGGAAATTCTCACCTAGATGAGAGAGGGAGAAGCTTTAAGCAGTGCCAGAGATGGGTAGACGGTTGGAAGGAGAGCGAAAGAGAGATCATACATAATATCACACACACACACACACCATCAAAGCAGCGCAAAAAGCAAAAGCAAAACGAGAGGAAAAAAACAAAACAAAGAATAAAACTAAAGAACGTCTAACCACGAAACATTTGATACCCTTCCTCAGCTTGGGCTCCTCGAAACTGAATCCGAATCAGTAACTGAAGAAAATATTCCACAGATATGCGGCAAGTGTAAGCTTCGAAATATGCTTAAACATCTGACCGGGAGGCAGTGTATCCCAAAGTACGACTCAAATCCCCCACCCGACTCTGATTTAGCATTAGCGGTGCTACCCTCTGCCTCTGCCTCTGCCTCTGCCTCTTTCTCTGTATCTTGCTCTGCTGCCTCCTCTCTGCTCTTGCGCCTGGAGTAGTACCCGCTTCATCCATGCACACTCCTGTCTTAATCTTGTTTTCACACACACACACACACACACACACACTGATACGGAAACCAAAATCCAGTCACAGTAGGGAGCGGAGCGGAGCGGAGAGTGGGAATGAGCAAGCGATTGTGGCGTTCGCCAACTTAAAGTTGTTTTCGAACACGTTTAAGCGTTTCGAGAGACACATCGTACCACAACGAACAGCAGCCCCCCCACACACACAGCACTCCCCCCCGCTGCCACTATGTGCGGTACTTTATGCATGCTAAAGCTTAAGCAGCAGCAGCAGCGACACAACCAGGAGTCAGCGTATCCGCAGTCAACGTCGCAGTCACAGTCGCAGTCGCAGTCGCTGCGATGCCGTAAGCAACAAAGTTGGTCAAAGCAGTCGTAAAAGGTTTGCTAAAACTTGTTGCCCACTGCCTCTGCGCGCCCTCCTCTGTCTGTGCTGGCGATCGGTCTGCGCTTTGCAGAGTTACAGAGCCGAGCAGCAGCGGCACAGCTGTACAGGGTTGCCAGGTGGTTGAGATTAGCGCAAAGCTTGAAGATCTCATCTTCTATTGAGATTTCATTTTTCATTGCAGTTAAAGTACTGATATTCCATCTCCTCACAAAACGTAGTGCAGGAAATTGAAATTAAATTAAATTGGAATTGAATTTAAAATACTAACAATGGAAACTGAAAAACAAATTTAGACACGATTCCGTGTGCTTCGCAGAGATAAGATAGAGAGCCGGAGGCAGTCGGGCAGGCAACAGCAACAACAAAAATAAAATGAATTTTTGTTTTGTTCTTCTGTTATGTTGTGACTGTATTGAACCCATTAACCAGGCACAGGCCAATGAATTAATTTCAAATATAAATTGATTTTGTTGTTCCCCATTGATACTGAATATCAGCCTAAAGGTAACCTCAACTCAATTCATTTATGTTTGTTGATATATCAAAGAATCTTGTAATTGAAATGGAATATTTATTGGAATTTAAATTTGTATGTTTTTGTGTACTAAATATATGTATGTATCATGCAATGCCCCCCATCACCTTGTTATTATTTGTTGAAATGAATGACCAAAGTTGTGTATTCCGGGGCAGAGATAAGGTGTTCCGTTTTGCTCCGTAAGTGGGGTAAGGCAGCTTCAATCTATAATCGCTCGCTCTCGCATGGAATCCATTTTTTCCTGCTTCCACAACATTTGTCCCCACTTCTGTTGTACTGCAGTGGACACTCTGGCAACCCTGTCGTTGCGCATGCGTTCGCTGTTTGCGTTTTGCCTCTCTTTGCGCACTTGTTGAGCAACCGCAGTCAACTGGTTTTCGCTACTCTAGCAGAGCGAGAGAGGGAGAGGTGGGCGCTGCGGCTACTGCTGCTGGGCCCCAAAATGTTGATGGCTGCGCGTCTGCGTGTGCTGCTGCTGCGGCGGCTTTTAGCTCCGGCTTCAACTGTTGCTCGAGGAAGAGTGGGAGGGGAATGGGGATGGGGATGGGGAGTTGGCTTTTCGTGTTGTTGGCTTGAACTTGAGCTCCATACATATGTAATTGGCGCTTGGCTGGGCGGGCAGCTGTTGCTGTTGTAGTTGCTGCTGCTGCTGCTGCTGCTGTGAGAGTAGTTTTGGCCACGCTTGGAGTGGCATGGCATGGCATGGCATGGCATGGCATGGCATGGAGTGGGTTGCCGTGTGCTGCCTTTAAGCCAGCCTCTCTCTCTCTCTCTCTGTGTGTGTGTGTTAACTGGTTGCATAACATGTTACAGCATCGCACGAAACGAAAACGAACCACGGCGACGGGCGGGCAGACAGACAGACAGACAGACAGACAGGCGGACAGACGGCGTTCCCCAAAAAGAAATAAAACCGAAACTGATGACGACACGAACAGAAAGAGGGCGCATAGCGGATAGGTGGGGAAGTGGGGAGTGGCGGAAGAGATGGGAAAGGAAGATTTGGAAAGGAAGTGTTTTTGCTTTGGAGAGGATATCAGAGAGAAAGATCAAATATCTGTCAGGATCCTTGATCTATGTGAAATGTAACCACTGCTGTGGAAAAACTTGTCAATATTTTCGATTGTGACTTTCGGAATCAACTCCGAGAGCCTGTGGCTTCCTTTGAGCACAACTGCAAGTAAGTGTGAAAGATTCTTCATTGCTCGAATGCCCGCAGCAGCAGCCGCAGCGCCCCTCCCCGTTGTAATAGAAAGACCCCGCGAGAGAGGGGAGAGTGTATTGGTGTGTGTCTGTGTGTGTGTGGTTGGTTAATGTCTGGAAAATTATAAGCATTTGTGACTTTTGCAATATCCACACACTGCAAGTGCTACTGCTACGCCTCAGTCGCTGTCGCAGTCGCAGTCGCTGCTTACCAAAATAACGCTGCCGCCGCTGCTGCTGCCGCTAGTAGACCAATTGCCTCTGTGTGTGTGTGTGTGTGTGCGCTGGTGGTTTTTTGCTTATAGGTCAAGTTAAAAGTAAAAGTATCCAACACCATTTGAGCCGTGTCTTGGCCGCTCTCTCGCCCTCTCTTTGCCTCTTTTTTTGCGAAACATTCGCGTTACGTATCCCTGCCCGAAAAGCAGCAATGGAAATTGATTTCAACGTTTGTATCTCTCCCATTCGCAGGTGGCCAGCGATCATCACCAGCCGCAACAGCACCAGCAACAGCAACAGACAGCGGAGCAGCTCATCCTGGACATCAACATGGAGCAGTCCTCCCAGTCACAGCAGCAGCATCGCCTGCACGGTGCCCTCACACGCACCATCTCACAGCCAGCGCAGCAGCGCCACCCACTGCAGCAGCAGCAGCAGCAGCAGATCCAACAGCAGCCACAGGGTGTTGCCTCTTTGGTGCCCATCATTGAGAATCTTGGGAACATGAATCTGCACCGCAAGCTCGAGCGCACACAGTCTGAGCCGCTGCCCCAGCAGCCCATGAACATATCTCGGTGAGTGTTGGCCCTCCCCCAAATGCAGATCCTCCCTCCATTCGGTGCTCGACTTACTTATGACTCATTTGCTGTGCCTTTTGCTTGTTTTTGTTGGCTGCAGCTACAAGACGGAGCTCTGCCGCCCGTTCGAGGAGGCCGGCGAGTGCAAGTACGGGGAGAAGTGCCAGTTCGCACACGGCTTCCACGAGCTGCGCAACCTGCAGCGCCACCCAAAGTACAAGACGGAGTACTGCCGCACCTTCCACAGCGTCGGCTTCTGCCCCTATGGGCCACGCTGCCACTTTGTGCACAACGCGGACGAGGCCCGTGCCCAGCAGCAGGCGGCAGCCCAGGCTGCCAAGTCGGGACAGCAGCAGCAGCAGCAGTCGTCGTCGGGACAGCAGCAAGCACAGGGACAACAGCAGCAGCAGCAGCAGCAGCAGGGCTTCCAGAAGCCATCACAGCTCGGCAGCCAGACGAGCATCAGTCAGAGCATCAACATCAGCCAGAGTACGTTCTTTATGCCGCTGAGCCCACCGTTGAGCATGAGCACCGGCTCGGACCGGGAGTCGCCCACCGGCTCATTGTCGCTCAGCCCCACCAACTCGCTGACGAGCTTCCCCTTTCACGATGCCATGCCGCCGCAGCACGGCGGCTACCACTACATGCCCGTGGGCTCCTCGGGCGGCAAGCACGGCACTGGCAGCGGCAGTTCCGCCTCATCCACGTCCTCGTCCTCGTCCTCGGGCCTCGGACTGGGTCTGGGCATGGGCATGGGCATGGGCATGCCCATGGGTCCGGCCACACCGCCAGAGAGCCCCAATGTGCCCATCTCGCCGGTGCACACGCCACCACCGTACGAGCCCAGCACCCCGAGCACCAGCAGCAGCAGCAGCAGCAGCAGCAGCAGCAGCAGCAGCAGCATGAGCAGCGGAATGGGAATGGGAATGGGAATGGGAGGAGGACAGGCCAAGCAGCTGCTGCAGAAGAGCATGAGCACGCCGATGCAGCAGGAGGAGATGCCGCGTCTGCCCGTCTTCAATCGACTGAGCTCCGCCGTGGAGGACTACCAGAAGAAGCTGCTGTCCAGTCTGCTGCCCTAAGCACACAGCAGCAGCCCAGCATTCAGCGTTCACCCTCATCCAACAATGTCCCGCATCCCGCATTCCGCATTCCTCATCCCTCCCATCATCTAATCAGCCCAATAACAACAGCAACCTTGACAAAATCTCAACAACGACTACTCCGAACCATTGTAGACTTGATCCCCCTGGCTGTCCACCCTTACCCCAATCCAAATCCAAATCCAACAACAACGATGATCTGGACCAACGAACAGCTACAGGAGAAGGAGCAACGGGATGTTGCTCCACACAGAAAAACAAAGACAATTGAAATGAAATTTTGATCTTGCAAGCATACAAAAAGAATTTGTATGCAGATGTTCGGTCTTGCATTTATAGGACCAGACGACCCATTAGAAGCCAGGCAATCGACCGGATTGCTATTGTTTAATATTTATGCAAACATTTGACTAGTTATTAGATGCGATCGATCATGTATCCAAATATGTGCATGTACACACACACACACACACACACACACACTATATATTGCGATGTATTTGATATATGTGTAACGTTGGAGCGTAACGTTGTCTTCCAATCCGAGGGCCCGACTGGCGGGCTCTTTAATTTATTTTCCTTGCTGCTGAACGATTTAGTGGCAGCAAACGTTGTGTACATATGCGATATGAGTTGATATTTCTTGATAAACTTTATATAAATTATATAAAATTACTTACAATTACGAGACTACACGATAATGATAATGATAACGATGACGATGACGCCAAAGCCACTCCACTGGCAGTCGCTGTTATCGATGATATACCTCTTGCAGTCCACTGCAATGCAACAAAACAAACAAACAAAAAGCAACTAAAAAAGACCCAACCCCCAAACACACACACACACACACACACAAAATTATAGCAGAAAAGACGAAACAGACAAGCAAGAACAAGAACAAGAACAAGAACAAAGCAGAACAGATTTAGTTATCGATTGTAGAACGAAAGCCTATCGATCACTCGATACACGCTCCAATTTGGTTCTTGTTTATGATATCGTTTCGATTCGCTAATTGTTTTGAAATGAAAGGAAATGCTGATTCTTTAGACACACATAATTTATTTTCACATAAATATACATACCAGATATTTTATATGCGATTAATGTTAATAATTTATGAAACCAACCTGCTCACACATACAACAGAACACACACACACACACACACACACACACATACATATTTTGACCATTGATAATTTAATGTTTTTTTATATGGTATATATTCAAAAGGAATCATTTTGTTTATTATATATTTTGTATTTAACTTAATTTATTTTACACTTTTTTCTTGATTTCTTATTTTGGGTGCAGTTATATAATTATAATTGTTAGTTTTACGCAAGGGAACAGAACAGAACAGAAGAGAAGAGCAGACCCTATTTATACGAGAGCTCTCCTATAGAATCAGTGCCCCAGGGCCACCCCAACAAGTCCAAGTGCAAGCCCCATGCGAGGGAGGGAGGAAACCACCACCGACGCGACAGTAAACCCATCCAGTGGGGGGATCTTTAGTTGATCTTTGGGACCAGCAGCTACACAAAACTGAGCACAGTGCACATTAGCGATGTATAATTAAGCGAAGCGCAGCAACAAACACAAAGTAACTAAATGCAAATATTTAACATTTGTATTTACATATTGTGAACCAATGGAATTGTTTTAATCCCTTTACTTCATTTTGTTTGTGTGTCTTTCTCGATTTAACTATTTATATTTATTAGAGCCATTTGACAACAGAATAATTCGATGGAATGCAGGAGAGGAGGTGGCGCTCGTTTATCAATCAAATGTTGGGGGTGGGGTGGGGTTTATAATTCTCAAAGTGCCTTATCATTAATATATAATATGAATATGAATATGAATATGAAACAAGTACAGAAAACACACACACACACACACACAAATTATGTATAGTCCTGAGAAGGAGGGAACAAAAAATATTAGAAACGAAAAACCGCACAAGGAAAGGAAAGCGAGTAAAATCGGTGCAGAATGCAAAATGATTATTTATTTGTATTTAATTGCTAACCACATTATTCCACAAGTAGCACTAAGGCAATCCCCACTTGTTACGGCAGAGTGCAAAGGTCTACCACATAAATCATACCCTGTAAACAAGCCAATATAAAGTACTGTTTTTTTTTTTTATATATTTTTTTTGCTGTATTTATACTTAAACCTTAGACCTAGTAAATGAAACCCCCAGCTATGGTTCTCTTCCTCATGCGAACGTCAATGTGTGGCCTTATCAAATGGAACCCAACCCTTGGAACTTTATGCCTTACACCCCACATCCGTCGTCTTCCCTTTTAAGCAGCAGCAAATATTACACTAATCGGAGGCGAAAGAGAGAGAGAGAGAGAGAGAGAGTGGCGAGAGGAGCAAGCAAGAGTTTTTTGAATGCCAGTTGAATTATTCACTATTTATACACCTACAATATACTTATTAAACATACATATACTATGCCTTTGTTCGTTATTTATGTAGCCACACACATACATACCCATGATAATTCATAGATTTCCTCCGCACAAGGAGACAGCAAACGACATACAAAAAAGACAACAGCCGATCGGGATCCGGTGAATGATGAATTTTGTTACATTCTGAAACATGCCTATTTATGCTTCCATTGCAACACAACTCTGTGTGTGTACTTTTATATAGTAAATTACATTTTTATGAATTACACAAAACCATCTAGTTTATGGCGAATTTTAGGTTATCTAGCAATTAAACAAAAGCGTTACAAAATAAATGAAAAAAAAATAGAAAACAATGGGTTTGCTCTCTGCTGTGGGTACGGGGGGGTTATCGCTGGTCTCTCTTGTCGCCGATTGCCAGCGCTTTGAAGCTTTTTGCCGTTGTGGGCACAGCTTTTGTCATACGATCTTTTGCCGATTCTGCAGCACTACAACGGACGAACGTTCGGAGAGAATTTTGAGACGATCTTCAGGCAACACTCGGGCACTGGTGCACAAACTGGTGCAATTGCTTCATGGCAGCCACATACCATAGTTTCATAGCTGCGAGCTACGTACGTTTACAAATGGAGTTGTTGGAAAATGAAGGCATACTTTCAGGCTGCTCTGGTCTTTGCTTGGCTTCGGGGAGTATATCCCAGAACGAAACGAAATCAAACCCATTTTGTTTTATTTGCTTTGTATTTGTTTTTATTTTTATTTATACTTTGTTGTTTGTTGTTTTGTTTTGTTTTTCTTTTCAATATGTTGTGTTTATCTTTATATTATTATACGTTTAAGCTTACAACTTAAGGCATAAGGTTACGAACTAAAACTTAGGTGCTACACATCATAATCAGCATCCCTCGAGCTGTTTCCATCTTGTGTCATTCATATTGGTTTATTGTTATCGATGATGTCCTCAAAAACAGTTTGTTGTGTGTGTTCACCATTATTCTTGTTTGCCATATCGTTTATATAGTTTTTTTTGTATTGTTCCAACAACAGAATAGATCCAAAAACATTTCAAACTGCCTCCAATAGAGCGAATTTAGAAATTTTTAGTTTGCTTTTAATCGCTTTGATGCGCTTTAAAATTCGGTTATATATGCATTCTTATCTGTTTTCGTTTTTATATATTTATTGTATGGAAAGTGCTCTCTATCGAGGTTCGAATCGATTTGGAGTCGGAATTGGGCCTGGATCGAGTCGAGCGGGGGCAACGGCGAGCTGTTTCGTTGTGTTGTCGGCTCTGTTTCAGGCCCAGCATGTGTCCCTCCCATGAGTCTGTCTCAGTCCTCGTTCAGGCTCTGTTCACCGCAACATCACAACATCACAGCCCAAACCCAACCCCAAACCCAAACCCACAATAACCCACCCGACAGGGGCCCCGGACGCCGTTCATTTATAATTTGTTGCCGCTTTACATAAATTTATTCATACATACATTGGGTATGCATGTAAAATTGTAAAATTGGGTTTCTGTATATATATATATATATATAGAATTTGTTTCATTATTTAATTTGTTATATATATATATATATATATTTATAAAAAAAAATACGCGTTATGCTCTTAACTAAAAGGTTGCGTTACATATTTCTTATAGCATTTGCATATCCGTTTCCGTTTCCGTTTCCGTTTCCGTTGCCGATTCGTATTCAATGCATATCTTTATCATCTATCGTTTATCGTTTATCGTTTATCGGCATCGTTACCGTTAGCTTTTACGTTCACACATATTTAGATCTATATATTTATAATTTTCCGTTAATATTTTACAATTTTCTGTTTTTTTGTTGAATAAGTCTTAGCGTTTGTTGTTTACTTTATAATATATATATATATATATATTTATATATAATTGTTTTTGTTTTTTTTGTGGTTTTGTTTTACTTTCGTTATGTATTAAAAATATTGAATTATATTGTTTTGTGGTTTTTCAATCGTTTCATTCTTGTTTTTTGCGTTTGCAAGTAAAAAAAAAATAAGTTAAAAAAAAAACACGATTTAAACAGTTAAATAGCTAAACACTAAGACATAGGGGGGGGGGGGGTGGTTTATATAAAAAATATGCATACACATCCATCCATCGATATATATTGTATATATAATGCCATCAACTATCATGGATGGCCCATACAGCCGTCCAGTTGCAGTTCTCCTCCTGCTGCATTACTCTAGGTATTACATGTGCATTGTATGTATCTGGCTCTTTCTTTTCTTCTCTTTTCGTTACGTTTCTTTATTTTACTTACAAGCGACATTTCATTAGATTAGCAATAAACGTAGTACATAATCATAATCATAATCATAATCATAATCATAGTCCGACAGTAGCGTTCGCTTACAGTGGATGCAACACACAAGAATCCGTCGTAAATTAGTTTTGCGTATATAAAATTGAAAAAAAATATAACTAATATATGTATAATATAAGCGATTAGTAATCGCAATCCTAATCGTAGGGTGGTGGGGGAACGGGGCACGCATGGATAACATCGATTCGATTGAAACGATGATCTTGCATATTTTTTTTTTAATGAAATTTACAAAAAGTCGTTGAAGCAACGTATGCTGTTGGAAGGGTGAGGGGAGGAGGTTATTCTATAGTTTACAATCATAAATTTAATTTCTTCTCGCTATATCCGTTTCCTTTCATGTTTAGATCCTTTTGTCTCTTATCTAAGCCCAACAATGTGTGTGTGTGTGTGTGTGTGTGTGTTTCTCTCTCTCCCTCTCTTTTTTCCTCAAATCTTAACTTTGGAGGGAGGGACAGCAAATGAACACAAAATACACTTACGCACACACAACACGAGGGGGGGGGGGGGGGGGGGGAAAGAAAAAAAAGGAGGAGAAAAGGGGGGGGGGGCAAAAACCAAAAAAAAAAAAAAAAAAAGGAAAGAAAGGAAAGAAAGAGGGG